CTTATAATGAAGAGGCAGGCTATGAACCACATACTCCCAATGGTGAACAGTAAAAATGTAGATTAACTTTAGTAGATTATTTCATGCAGATAAAATGCTCACCTAGTTAAGTAAGCAGGGTTCATAGTTTTTTCACTGCAAAAGTGAGCTATGGAGAAGAAACAGATAAAATAAATTAGAAGAAAACAATAAAATAGATTGGGATTGGTACTAATGAAGGAGTACAGAGTTTTGAAGCCATTCAGGCTTCATCAGTACTGGGAGGTAGAATTATAGTCCAAATATGGGACTCCTGACTTTCCACAAAGCAATATAACACACTGCAAAACATTCACCTCCAAGTAGATCTGCTCTTTTGGCAAATTACATGGTTCAGAATTAATCCTCTAGCTTGCAGCAGGCAGCACATGCCAATTTACAGCAGTCACCTATTACTGTTCATTATTTAATAGCATTGCTTTAGCTCTAGTGGGATTGCCTTCATTGTTGAATAGTTTCCAGCATCATTCTTACAATTTTGTGTTTTTCACAGTTCTTTTCCAGGGCTTACTAAACAGCTTCACACCTGCTCACTGAATATAATGTTGACTCTAGTCTAGTGCATAACAAGGAGCAGCTAAATGAGAGTTTTCCTGCTCAACTTGTCCCATATAGGCCATCACTGTAAACTCGGTTCTCTTTTTGTAATCCACCAATCATCATAAAGTGTCAGCTAATGAAACTTGTTCATGTCTTAAATATGCTTTCTCACAATTAAATGCAACACAAAAATAAGTAGCTTATGGAAAAAATGTCTGGATTCCAGGGTATAAACTAAATCATTTTTATGTTACGGAAAAATTAATTCTGTTTCCAATGTCAAATAAATAAAATTTGCAACCTAGAGCATAACAGAGGCAGAGGAAATATGGCTAATGCATTTCCTATGTAAATAATTGCTCTATCTAGAAATGGACACATCACATGGGAATTGCCAGACCAGTGGGTCTATCTACAATAGAGATCTGTACCATATGCTTCAGGGATAGGAAACTCCAAAGTGAGCAATTATGAAATAACTCCTTCATAGGGGGTCATTTCTTCCTCGTCCCTTCCCTCAAACTGAATTATACCCTGACACATGAGGGGTTCTCATTCAACCTTGGGGGATGTGGGGAGGATGTCACTGTAGATGTCCTTATTATCCATATCAACCACTTGATACATTCAAGCTGAGTTTGTACTCTCAAATGAGTTGTTGGACTTTTCAACCTGAGATCTAGTCTTTGTACAATATACATAAGAGGCATTTTGAACTTTTCTTCATAATGACCTAGCAGAACGAAACAAATCTGAGGAGAAACCACTCAGCTATTAGAGCTTGTTTAATTTTTTTCTAAGATTAATTTCTGCAATAAGACTAGATATTGTTCCTTTTAATTAACACACAGTATTCCAGTGAACACAACTGTGGGACAGCATATTGTAATGTTTTTACAGAGATCTATATTCTGAAAAAATATGTCTGTTACATCACAGTAAATCTGGAGTGGTTCCACCCACTTCAGATGAGTTATTCTAGATTTTCTCTATTGTAACTGAGCCGAATTTGGACAAGATTATTTTATGTATTAACAAACTACTAAGATAACCACTGTCATGTAGAGTAAGTTTTCTGCAGCAGTCTTAGATCCATTCAAATTATGTGGTGTATCAAATTTATGCATGTGAACCCAGAACCAGATCCCAGCATCTCTCTCATGAAACATGTGCCCAACATTTCACATCTGAGAGTGGAAGCCATGTCTTTCAAGATATTGTCTTTAACTGTTGTGATGATCTATATTCCTTACTTTACCAGAAAAGGTATTTAGCTTGGTTTCTCAGCATGCTTACATGGGTGTCCCCAAAAGTTATCAGTTACATTCTCCATCTTAATCTTTGTCTGGCATCAGGTAGTTTATTGGGGGTTCCCTCTTCTTCCTCTTCAAAAGCCATGAGAGACAAGCTTTAAGCATTAATATTATAAAGCTTCAAATCAGAACAAACCAAAATTCTGAATCCAAATTCCCTGAACTTCAGCAATATGTCTGGAATCTCCACTGGGATCCAGGCCAGAATTACATCACTTGCCTGATCTCGAGATCCACATTTTATGACTTGGGACCTGGTCTGGTTCCACCTTTTTAATGGGAAGTATGAACAAGACTGAATGAGCCAGTATGAGCAAGACTGATCTTGTGAGGTACTGAGTCACCCCATCTACTAGCCCAGGGGTGGGCAAACTATGGCCCGGGAGCCGCATCTGGCCTTTCAGACATTTTAATCTGGCCCTCGAGCTCCTGCCAGGGAGTGGAGTCAGAGGCGTGCTCCGCATGGCTCCCGGAAGTAGCAGCACGTCCCCCCTCCGGCTCTTACGCGTAGGGACAGCCAGGGGACTCCGCACACTGCCCCCACCCCAAGCGCTGCCCCAGAGCTTCTATTGGCCAGCAAATGGGGCCAATGGGAGCTGCAGAGGCGGCACCTGTGGACGGGGCAGCATGAAGAGCCGCCTGACCATGCCTTAATGTAGGAGCCAGAGGGGGGACATGCTGCTGTTTCCGGGAGCTGCTTGAGGTAAGCGCTGCCCAGAGCCTGCACTCCTGACCTTCTCCCGCACCCCAACCCCCTGCCCCAGCCCGGAGCTCCCTCCCGCACCCTGAACACATCATTTCTGCCCCCACCTCAGAGCCTGTACTCCCAGCTGGAGCCCTCACTTGCTCCCGCACCCCAGCCCCCAATTTTGTGAGCATTCATGGCCCACCATACAATTTCCATACCCAGATGTGGCCATCGGGCCAAAAAGTTTGCCCACCCCTGTACTAGCCCATTGGAAACAGAAACAGAAATAAGTTATTTTAAAGTAGAAAATCTTCTGTCACCTGAGGACTTAGCTAATAGCTGAATATTTCCAGTTTATATAGGTTTAAATAATCAATTCCCTTACTGCCTATTTTGACTTTACTTTACTTTCCAAGATTACCTTTCCAGCTGGTCTTTAATTAAATATTTCAATTAGGTGATCATTTAGGAATTATATATACACACTTCAGAGTTTCCATTGTAAATCATAGACACTTAACACACTAGCAGCAATGGAGCTGAATTTTACCTTACACTTTTAGTAAAAGGCCTTTTTTAGACGGTGGCATAGAAAATGTCTCCATTTACAAAAGAGAATTTCGTAATTATATTCATTTAAAATAATCAAACATTTCCTCCAATGAAGGGAATTTTAAGGAGGTGACTGAAAAACTAATCCAACTATTTTTTCATTGCTCTTTTTCACTGTCTAGACTAAAATAATGGGAGCTCAAAATTATAGATTAATTCTTCTCTTCAAACACAGTGAAAGGAGACAAGATTAAGAGGTATACTTGATTATAGTCTATAAGTACCTACATAGGAAACAAATATTTAATAATGGGCTCTTCAATCTAGCGGAGAAAGGTATACCACAATCCAATGTCTGGTAGTTGAAGCTAGACCAATTCAGACTGGAAATAAGGTATACATTCTTAACAGTGAGAGTAATTAATCATTGGAACAGTTTACCAAGAGTCATGGTGGATTCTCTATCACTGACAATTTTTAACTCAAGATTGGATGTTAGTCTAAGACATCTGCTCTAGGAATTATTTTGGGGGAAGTTCTATGGCCTGTGCTATACAGGAGGTCTGATTAGATGATCACTATGTCTCTTCCGACCGTCGAATCTATAAAATGGCTCAGAGCACTTGGGCAGTAGCAATGGATTATGCAGGCTCTCTCTCCTGGGTCACTGCTTTGAATCCAACCCAAGTTGATAGTGACTGAATGTTAATGTCATTTCATAGCTCCTTGGGTGAATTCTTGACCCTACTGAAGTGAATTGGGTTTTGCCATTGACTTCAATGAGGCCAGGATTTCACCCTTTGAGTCTCCAGTATGTGAAGTGAGTTAGGGCCTGACTCAGCATCCATTGACTTCAATGGGCATTTGACTCAGGCTGTTAGGCAGAGATTTTTTAAAGGTATTTAAGTGTTCTTCTGCTCAGTGTCACACTGCCTAAGTGATTTATATGGCTGAGTCCCAATTTCAGAAAGTCAGTGAGACTTAGCTCCTAAGTCACTGTTGAAAATGGGACTTGGGGGATGTGACCTGTAGAGAAGCTGGCTGCCCTGACTCCTGGTCCCCTCAACCCCCCACACACACACTAAAACTCTTCAATTAAGGGCTCACAGGTATCTAAAGTCTGGAATATTAGGGGTAAAATGGGTGGGTTTGTTTTTGTTTTGCATAGAGAGGCACTCAGAGGCTGTCAGTCTATTGGGCATCAGTTAGCAGCTGAACCATCACTGATTTTTCATGAACTCTATTAAGCTTTTCCCCCTGAATGTATGAGGGCTTATCCTTAATGAACCCTCCAAGAGAATTAAGACTTTGAGGCATTTAAAATCAAACGGATATCATAGAGCTTTCCTTCAGGAGACCCATTTAAGGACTGAAGATGCAGACATAATTACAAAACTATGTGGGACATGAATATCACTCTTCTTTCAACTCCAGAAGCAGGGAAGTAGCGATACTAATCCACAAGAGCCCAACTTTTCAATTTATTCCATCATGGCTGGATCCAAAGAGGAGCTACATAATAACTGAAGGCATTTTCAATAGTAAGAGATTATTTTGGGGCAGGGCATATAATCCTAATAGTGGGAATGCACCCTTTATCACAGGACTAGTTGACATTATTTCCACTAGAACGGGTATCCTAATAGTACTAGGAGATTGTGGATGATGTCACAGACAAATCTAAGTGTATCTAGGTAATAAGCTCAGGCGTTTGCAAACCATTTGTTATCCCTACTCAAGGATATTGGACTAGTGGATATTTGAAGATTGAAGAATCCCATGAAGTAGGACTACATATATTTCTGCATGTCTGGAGGCAGACTTGAGTAATATCATGTCTAATCATGCTCTAATTTCTTTTCACACAGATACTGGTCAAGATTCTCAAGATGGAAGTTAAACTCACATCTACTTAGAGACTCTAAATTTCTTCAGATGATTGAAACATCCATTACCAGCTTCTGGAAGGCAAATACAAATACTGGCTCCTCCACAACAACTTTATGGGAAGCACTGAAGGCTACCTTAAGAGAACACTGCATACAATTTGCATCTGAAGAGAAAAAAGAAAGCAATAAATTACTTAATTCTTTAGCAGAGGAGGTTGCCAAGTTTGGGGGGAAGGAAACTTGAAGAAGACCCTCAAAGTAATGAGCTGCTGCATTCTCTCATTACCTCAAAATACAAATACAATGAATACATCCACCCATGCTTAATTCATGCTTAGCAGAATTAAACAGAGGCATTATATGGGAGTGGGGAGGGAATAAAGTGAGGAAAATTTAAATGGCTTCATCCAAGAACACCATAGCCTCTTTGCTACAGGACAATGGTCTTTCTGCATTAGAATCTGATAAAATTAACAGACCATTTAAAAATGTTTAGGAATCCCTTAACGCATCTCATGGTGAGCTCAGTTCTAATCTATTAGACCAGTTCATGGAGGGATTATCCTAAATACACTGTTGCTACCTCAGACAGATTTTATGGAGGAACATCTCTCTTTACTAGAAGGTAAGCAGGCAATTGACTCACTCAATTCAGTCAAAGCATCTGGGTGTTGTGGAGCTCCAGCAGAATTATATAGGACATTTATTAATCCCTTAGTTGGGATACTGTCGAAAGGCTATAATGAAATATTTACAAAAGAAAAAAAGACAAGGACGATCTTCATAATGGTGACTACTGTCCCCATCTCTCTGTTGAGCACAGATAATAAAGTTCTGACAAAGATTCTTGCTTCCCACCTAAACAACATTGCCCCGTCAATCATCCAGGCAGACCAGGTGGGTTTCATATATGACATTAGCCATGGACAACACTCAAAAGATCTTCCACATAATCCATCAGGCACAAACAACCGATGCTCCACCTGCTATCCTTTCATTAGCTGCCGAAAAGGCCTTAGATCAAGTGGAATGGCCATACCTACAAGCAATCCTGAGAAAATTAGGATTTGAACCTAAATTTCTGACCTAGAGTGATGATATTTACAAATCACCCCCTGCCTCTGTTCTGACAAATGGTGTCCTCTCCTCCACTTTTCAGTTAAACTGATGAGTGTGTCAGGGGTGCCCTCTATTGCTTCTATTATTTGACATATATGCTGCTAGTAGTTGCATGGCTATCAGACAGACACCATCCACTGAAGGAATTACCATCTGGGATAAAGAGTACAAGATTAGTCTATATACAGAAGATATCCTGCTTATGTTAAAAACAAACAAACAAAACCTTTCCTCTTCCATTCCACCACTACTATCTGCAGCAAACTACTTCGGTGAGCTATCAGAATTTCAGATAAACTGGAACAAGTCTCAAGTGATGGATATTTCTCGTAGTCTAAATCCATCTCAGATACAATCAACCATTCTCCTTACATTGGTGCAAAGAAATAAATTACCTAGGCATCAGGATATGCTCTGATTTAACAAAAATAGTATCTGCAAACATGGATGCCATACTTCGAGAACTGACAAAAGGTTGCTCACTATCAATATATTTTATTGAGAAAGGTAGACACTATTAAAATGAATGTAGGAGCAAGATGTAGGAGCAACTTAATTCCATTTACATTTCCTTCTTCAACTTTTATAAGAATAAATAGAGTTGTACAATTCTTATGGGTATCCCACAAGATACTTAATTAATCAGGGTCAATTGAGGGACATGGTGTGGGATTACCTGATCTGTGTTTATATCATCTGTCTTTTCAATTACGATTTTTAATAAAATGGTTCTGTCATACCAACTTTTCCCAAGCCCCGTGGCTGGAGACTTTCTCTCTGCACTTCTATTTTTAAAATGGTTGTCTGCACCTTTCAGAAAAAACACAATATGTACCTCCTCTTGGAGCGTTCTTCAGAAAATCAAGTCCATTACTACTTCTGATCTCACCAACTTTTCTTCCATTCCAATCTACTATAATCCAAGATTTAAACTTGCTAATAGCTTGAAATTCAAATCCAAGAGCATATTAACCATAAAAGATATTGTTGAATGGACAATTCAAGCCTCCTTCACATATCTTTGTGATAACTATTAGCTACCAACACAGCAAGGTCATTTCTAACCTTAGATTCAGATTTAGAAATGAGTTGGGGAATGGTTGGCAGGCCATAAACAACACGCCACTTGAAATGCACCTTAAAAAGTATGTTAATCAAAAACATTTTGTGGGTAACATACAAATGGCTGAACCCCTTTATTTGTTCTATTGACTGTACCATAATGGGAGAAGGAGCTAAACTTCTCCATTTCCTCGGACAGATAGGAAAATGTATGCAGAACATCCAGTTCTTTGTTTTTGTTTCTCTTTCAGAACAAAAATCTACATAGATATTATTGGACTCCTCAGCGATTGCATAAGACTGGACTTGCCGCACATAGTATGTGTTGGAAATATGACCGCTCCAATGCAAACCTGTCTCGTATAGTCTTTGAATGTCAAAGTATATCAATGTTTTCATGTGGTGTTCTATCCAAGACAATTAGGAAAGGGGTTTTCCCTATGTCAAACCTCTGTGTTTTGGACATTCAAGATCTATCCTGTTCAAGTAATGCAAGGAACTGGATTACTGCAGCACATATAATGGCCAAAAAGTCATTTTGCGAAAATGAAATGTGCTCTTTCCCCCTACATTCTTTGATTAGCTCAGTTAGCCCATCAACACTGTCCACATGGGAAAACTCACATTAATCTATAGAGGCAAAAGATCCAACTATGAAGACCTTTGGTCTTTCATGAGATCATTACAAACTGACTCCAGGTTGATTGGGCTTCTGATAAGTCTCTTTTTGTGTGTGTTGGGGGTGGAGTTTAGAGAATTATTGATCTTAAATACTCCCGTTATAGCTATGAATATGTCATTATTGTTCAATCCATACTCTGGCTGTGTTTTGCCATTGCATATGAATATGTCTGTATGGCTATGTTAGAACTTCTGAGAAAAAAAGAGAAAATGGGACCTAGACGTTGCAACACTGAGCCAATCTGAGTCTTAGTGATCTCTCACCAATTCCAAGCAGACAGATGTCCACCTCTCCACAGAAAGATCAAAGGCAGCACGCATGGGACTGAAATACTGAACTACCTCCTCACTTTTGGAAGTACTCCTTCCAGAGCAAGATTGAGATACTACTGCTGCCTTTGCTGGGTTTGTTCTGTGGATACATTTACACAGTGAAAATCATTAGCATTTTTTATATAAAGATAATAAAAATAGTTGTCAGTCCTCATGTTCCTACAATTTATGGCTCTAAAACACTAGGGCTAGAACTTTAAGACATGACATGTAATTGTGAGTGCCTCAGCTTTTTTATTCCCAACTTGAGACACTTCTCAGCTGGGCACCCAAAAATCAGTGGCCGTGCTCGGAAATTTTGGCATAGCTGTCTAAAAATGCAAGATGAAAGGTGTAGTACTGGATTCAGCTCATGTTCCATGCCAGTGGAAACGAGCACAGACCCTAGAGCTGGAACACAAAGTGGCAGGAAGTCAGCCAAGGAAGTTAATGTGATGGTGGAAAGTGACAACAACCTGCTTCCCAACAGCCATGTTGTCCGTTGGAAGCTTGCACAATCCCAAAAGCTGACCAAGGAGGGGACAACCAGAACAGCCACGGGATGTACTAATTCAACATATCCCATTAGCAACCTCGTCCAGTGGGAAGCTATGGCAGAAAAGCTGGGGACAGGCTGGCCCAGGGGTGTATAATTTATATCTTGTTGTGCCAGCCAAAGTGAAGCTGGTCCATAAAAGTCCTCTCTCATGTCTCCCTCTGAAACTTGGTTATTGAGACAACTTTATTATCTATGATGGAAGATGCTCGTTAAGGAATAAAAAATTATTTTTACTGTTGAACTTGCAGAAAAGTGTTCAAAGAATGTTGCTAAAAACTTTTTTTTTAAATATCTACCACTCTATAAACTGGTTGAACAATAGCAAAATATTTTTGCAAAAAAAGAGATTGAAATTTTGAAAAATGTCAATGAGCTATATACTAAAAATAGATGGACTATATCTCCATTTAGCTAATTGTGTCTTGCTGTTCTTTTCTCCCAAAACAAAACCCTCCACTTTAGTGTGAGCACGAGCAAATCCTCTTAATTCAGTGAGATTATGCTCTCTTACACAGGGCTGCATTTGCTTTTAGGACCCTGCAGAAATTTAGCAGAGGGCCCCTTTTCATTTTGCATTCTTTAATCTAACCTAGCTATCATATCAAGCCATTTGTAGCAGGTTCATCACTGTAGAATTTGAGGGCTTTTATGGCCGAGATGTTGGACTCTCTCATTCATGACGAAATGACTAAAGAAAGTTACAAGTTAAATTAGGGATGAGCTAATTGTCTCCGATAAAATAATAAACCAGCTCAATCTTCAAACACACCCTTAAAAAAAGAGCTAAATCCAAACAGAATCTTTATTGAGTGCCTGAAAAAGGGGAGGGGGGGCTGTTTTTATTGGCTTGGGAGCAGTAGTCTCATAGAAAGACTTACTTGGTAGCTAGAAATTGCAGTACCACAACTCTCATGAGTTGTTCAGACTTGAGAGTGTTGGATAGTCTGAGTAAGCATCCAGACTTTTGGATGCTTACCCAGACTGAAGCTGAACTTCCAACATCTGATGGATGCCTGTCCCTAATGTAAATATCAAGGTGCAGCCCTGCCTCATTGTAATGCATGCTTTCCAAGGGTATTGCACTTGTTAGAATGCACAGCTCAGGCATCTACCTTTAAAACCATTTAGATATGCTGAAACCCACCTAGGAATTAAACAGGACAAAAGCATGCTGAGAACGTCGTTGGAGGTTTAATTACCTTCTGCATTTTCTCTTTAGTGGGAGTTCTGAATTCTGGTGGAATAAAACTTCAGTCTCCACTGTATTGAAATGGTTGTTTTTTTTTAAGCACTCCAGTCATTGTCTCCACTTGACTAAGACATTTCTGTGCTGAAGCGGGTGCATTTACTTTTCAAGTATTATTTTACTAATCAATTGAAAAATTACCTCCATGAATGACAGAAGTGCAGACCTTTGGAGTATTTCATTAAAAGGAACAAACATTAATTACAAATCCAGCCTAACCTTTTGCAGACATAAATTATGGGACTGATCTATTTTCTCCGTGGTTAATTGCAAGCAGAGAGTAGCTCTTTAAATTATTATCTGTAAGGCATGAATGAAATTAGAATTTATTGCGTGATATTCTGAAGATTTATTTGTACCTAAAAATCCTGACAAAGGTAGTATTGGCCACACATTACATAGCTGTATAGTAAAACCAGTTAAAACATCTTTGAGGCTCCAAATTGGCTGACCAAGATGACTATCAAAGGTTGGATATTAAGGCCTAATATTAAGACTTTACTGACAGTATATTATAGCTTCTGGAGATAGCCAATATTGCCCAAGTATTTCTATTGTAAGCCAACGTTTTTGGTTACTCATAACTTTCCAAAAAGTTCACCTCATGGGCAGAAATTTTCCACGCATGGTATTTACTGGAAGGTAAAACAGCTCAACTATTTTCTAGTGAAATAAAATACACTTTCCCCATGATAAAACAAAAACAGCTAGTTTGATATAGTGGGGGATCAAACTGAAATCTGGGAGAGAAATAGCCTTCTGTGAGCAAAGTGATTGACTGCTCTGGTGCAAACTGGTTTTGATTTGATCTTCTTTCATGCACAAAGTATGATTTTCAGAGGTGTACAACAACGGCAATATTTTTGTAGTGATCATGTTGCGTGATCACTTCACAAGGTTTAAGAGGTGGGGCAGGCTTGTTTTATTCTTCTCTTCTTTCTAAAATATCAGGAGTTTCCAAAAGTCTTGTCTTCCTTATTTTTTCGGTAGAGGACTAGAGAACTGGAGTAGGAGCTTTCCCAGGTCCCAGCTAAAGGAATGAGAGTGTTGTATCTTTCTCAGAGAGTCTTTCTCCTAATTTTTTTTCAGGCATTTCAAGTAAGTAGGAGCTAATGAAAATAAACCCAAACTCAAAGTTTTAAACAGACTTACTAAAACTCCTTGCCCGTCTCTATTGATCCAGTCCATTCAGGTTTCCTAACCTACCAGTTTTCCAAGGAGTCACCCAACAAAAAGACAAAAGTCATTATCTAACATTTCTCATAATAAATAAATACATACATACGTATCAACCATTACCACCACCACCACTTTTATTTCAAGTCCTTTCAGGCTGTATTCACACAAAGAAAGAGCAAGGGGACAATAAGCCCAACTGGAGAACACAAAATCCATCTAAATAACCCAGACTATGAAAAAAAAGCCCGTTTTGGTGTTTAGTAAGTAAGAACACAGGACCAAGCCTTTTCTGTTTTCCATATTGTACCATGGAACAATTTTCAGCCGAGCCATCTACTGGTGAAATCACTCCAATATTGTTACAAAACATGTGACATCAAAGTAATTTCCATGTCCGATTAAAAGCACTAGTACCTAGATAGGCTAGATTTGATGCAGGACATGATGACTATATGTAAGGAACAACTAGCTGGAGCAGATGTAAAAAACTATTTTTTTTACGTATAAAGGACACTAGTAATGAAAACGGGGAAAAAACGTATGGACTATATATAATATGTTGGCAGAATTTACTCTAGAGAGAGCTTGCAAAAAAAAATAGAAGAAAAGAAAAGAAAAGAAAAGAAAAGAAAAGAAAAGAAAAGAAAAGAAAATCCTTTACACTGGAAATGGTAAACCTTGCTTCCATGAATATTGGAACACACAGAAGCACGTATTGAAAGAAATACCTCAACCACCACTGCTTGCCTCACTTCTCTAGCTTTCTTTTACCAAAGGGTCAATCATTAGTTATATAGCGCATCAGAAAACTTAGCCTGCTTGTCGTTTAATTTACTTGTGTCATGATATGATTCATACCAAAGTTCTCATAGCATTCACCATTAATACAGAATACCGCATTAGCTTCAGACACACTTTAGCACACTCTATGTATTATGTGACTACAGCCTAATCATAAATATGGAACATCGTTATGCCTTTCAGGGCTCGTTTTCCAAAGGGCCTAAGTGAACGTAGAGCCCAGTAAAAGTCAAAAGCACCTTAGGCCCTTTTGAAAATTTTACCCTTTGGAACTAATCTAGTCTCCCATCTCCACGGCCACACAGGTTCCCTGGTAGTGAAACTGCTGCAACTCTACCGTGCAGGGTGCGGTCTGAATCTGTGGGTGGTATCGGGGGTGCCCACTCAGAGAGGCCCTTGGTATGGCAGCACGCAAGGGATGATTGGAATCAGGGCAGAGCTATCCTGGGAAGAATTTGCTGCTGTGCAGCTCTTCTAATCCTTGCTCTATGCCAGGTATTCAGTAAGGCCAGGAAATGATATTGCAGGCAGCGGGTTGAAGATGTCTTCGTGGTCTGGCTCTGTAGACACCCTATCATTTATTGAAAGATTAGATATTGAGCCACAGTAACTGGGAATAGTTAGCCCTGATTAGGAGTTCGGAGAACAGGGAAAAGAGAACTACTCTGAAGCCTGCAGGAATTAGAGAGACCACTCTGCTTAGCCCTTGTGAAGCTAGTATTTTCTGTCTGTTATCCTAATATTTTGTCATGTTTTAAAAGTAGGGAGTTAACGATTGATCTGGAGCCTGGGAAAAGCACTCA